GTATCCCAACTCAACTCATTTTTTTTTTTTTTTTTTTTTTTAAAAGTCTGAAAAACAATCTTTCCTCCAAAGCCGCAGGAAGAGTTTAAATAAACATTTCTTCCTAAAAGCCTTCAACTTTGGTTAACCAGATACTCTCCAGCCAGTTGACTCATGGCTTGATTTCCTCTCTCCTGCAACGCCCTTCAAATTCCATCTTTCCCCCTTTACTCTCAACTACCCCTCCCTTGTTCATCCTCAACATCTCATGTCAGAGAGCTATCACTTTCAGAGCCTATTAAGAAAGACTTACTAGTACAGCAGTATGAATCAGTCCCACTAAGAAGTGTTACTACACCGTATCACTTTTCAAGCCTCAGAGCTCCAGTTTATGTTCCCCATATTGCAGCTTGTACTGGCATTTAATTCCATGTTGACTGTTTTCAAACTTTAACAAAAGCACTCAAACCAATTTCTTTTGATTTAGAGTCTAGTTACTTTAGAGTTTGTTTTAAATTCATGCTGACATGCTGTCTCCTCCCTAGGATAACTATATAGCTTCATAGCCCTATCATCCCAAGAACAAGGGAAGCTCTGCTCCTTGAAAACTTTCTTATGCAGCAAGCTCACTGCATCAACCTTTGAGTCAGGCACCTCTGCTTTTAACTGCATCACATGCTCTTCTAGTTGTTGCTGAGGTTGCTTAGATAGCAGCTGTCTTGAGTTGTACAGTCTTCCCATTCCTGCATATGCACACGCAAATTACCACCACCTCAACTTTATCACTGATCTGCTTGCTCACTACACCCTTTTTCTGTACAGCAGTCCAGATTAAAAAGCCCACTAACCTAGTAAGACAACTCATTATTGAAAAGCACGGTTCATTTTATAGAATCTTTACACAAGCTGCTCAGTTAACACTTTCAAGATAGCCTCTGAACCTGGATGGGCTGTAGCTAGACCAGGGCAAAACTGCACAAACTAGTTTCAGTTGAGCTCCTTGTTCGAGTTTCATGAGCATAGCCAGTACCACCCACCCTTTACCTGTACCATCATAAAGTAGTCAGGTCACCATAACTGCAGGAGCCTCCAACATAAAGGCCAGAAGGAAATGGGGGAGGAATAAGCAAAGTAAACCCAGTAGGAAGCAAGCAGGCACAAAAGCATTCATGCAGTAGTAGTAGAGTGGTACTCAATGATATTCTGCCAGTTTCTACTCTAAGAGTCAGTCCCTTCTTAGATGATTTATCCACCCCAGTTAAATGGTTAAGAGCCCTGAAGGTCAAAAGCAGTAATTTAATTACTAACAGACAAGCCCTTGTCTAAGACAGCCCGGAGAAATTCACAACACTGCACCAGTGAGGTTCTTTAGTACAATCCCTTTCTTCTTGCTCATTTTGAGGACATGTTAAATGTTTCAGTACGGATACTGCTGAAGAGCCTTATGATCCAATTTAAAACAAATCTTGGAAGAAGCTAAGGTTTGCAGGATTCTGTCTTAAGATGGAGTTTTAAATTAGCCATCCAGCTCCAAAAGCTTGGTGTTTGCTGTTCCGTTGTACCAAGTTAACATCACAAGCTGAAGGGAGACATCAACAACAGTCCAATATCTATACCATCATAATACTTATTATTTCATTCCACAGGTGTAAAGACTTAAGGAGAGAAAAGTTAGCTGCTCCTGTCCCAGCGAACAAGCTTACTTAAAAGAGTTATAGCTATCTAACAGGCTAAAAGTTATGGCTTCTTCTCACTAACCAGCGAGGCAGAAAAATTGTCACATTACAGAAAGGGATCCAACTTCAAAACAGCCAGTCCCCAAGACACACAAGCCCTACATCAAGTAACCTGCCCAGAGTACACAAATTCCGTAGCGCTGCAGGAAAGTGAGCTAGGAGAGACTGAAGGGGTGGTCACTGCCAACAACAATGGAAGAAGAGATTTAACAGATGTTATTTAGCAAGAAAATTTAAGAGACCCACTGAAATCCTCGTCTGCTAGAAACAAGCAATGATGGGTGGACAACAAGGTTTGTTGGTTTTGGTTTTTTTTAATTATTGTTTGTACCATGCATGTGCCAGGAAAGCACACCCAATTCAGAAAATAAGTTTACTTCCCACACAGGGCATTCTACCAATGTTTACTCAAAAAAAAAAATCTTATTAGTTAAATCACATAGAAGTGTTGAGTTTCAGAATATCCAGCTCAAATCTAGACCATTTGAGGCTAACAAAAATGAGAAGACAGTACTGTGGAGTGTAGCTTCCCATGATGCTTTCCCCATCCAAAGTCTCCTTATACAGGCAAAACTACTGCTAATATCATATAACAGTTACTGCTCGATATTATTCAGCAAAAGTAGCTATCTACATATCCCTGCGGGTTACTTCCCTATGTAAATTCCTTCTGTAGTTTGAAGCACTGTACTACCTTCCTTCCAGTCCTTGCCCTGTGTTTATATTTGTATTATAAAACATAGCTGAGGTAGAATGCAATAATAGGCCATTATAGTATGCATCTGTGTGTGCAGAGTAATCCTTGTATGGAGATAGCTCCAGATCCTTTGCACAGGCAGGTTAGAAGTTTCACACTAATCCAACAGCTGATTAGTATTTTATATTTGGTGGCAACACTGAAGACATAACCAGAGTTGTAGGTAGGTACAGTGCTAGATGCTGTACAGGCATGAAAGACAGCTGAAAATAAGTCTCAGTTGTAAAAACAAAACCAGGCTTGGCACTGCTATACAAGATCAGAACTTCCTTCAAAATGCTTCACGCTCAAGTGCATTTGTACAGTGCTTCATATATATTGTGATTTACATGACAGGATTATGCTGCAAGAATGCAAAATTCATATAACAGCACTTTGTTTTCAGCTCCACAGCCACTTCTGTCAGATCTGAGAGAACAGAAGGGGTGAGAAGACTGACAGCAGAAGCAGAGGGCTTTTTGCCTTGACACCTTGCCCTGTAACAGACAAGCTGTGGGGGAAGAGGCGGGGGGAAATAAAGTACTCAAGTTGGGAGTATCTTACTTGAATAGCCTGTCGTCCTTGCTGAGCATCTGCCAGGAGCTGAATGGTGAGAGTCCTGGAGTCCTGGAGGGCATCTTGGAGGTAGATAAAGCTGTGACCCACATGTCGTCCCATGGTACATTCCCGACATATGGGGACAGAACAGGTATCACAGTAGAAATGCAGTACCTAAAAGAAAAAAAAAAAATCTGTATCACTATCTAATGAAGAATTAAAGAGAAAATAGCGCCAGGATGAAAAAAAATCCAACAGCTCAACTATAAAGGAGATGGTTAGAGGCAGTAGCAATAGGCAAAGACTTCACAATAGTTTCTCCACAGAGGAAAAGCTATCCCTCCCAGTAAGCTCCAAATCATACTCTTAACAGTTAGATGGAAGTATCATTGTTTTCTTTGCAATACAATACTAGGAAGAGTGTCCACATCAGCTCCTCTTAGGAGCGGAAGCCATCTGCCAACACTAGCAGACTGGAGATGTCATCTATGGCAAGTTTCAGGTGAAGACTCTTCCTGCATACACAAACACCACATTCTCTTAAGTGGGTTATTTAATAATCACTGCACTGGAGAACTGCAGCACCAGCACACCCACCTCCCAGAAGGGGAAGACAATGTACGAATGCCCAAGAGCCATCCTCTATTTTTTTCAAAATACGCAAATCCCTTATGTTCAGGGCAGTGACAACATAAGGCAAGACTCCCTTCTGCCACTCCCAACAGCAAAGCAAAAAAACCTTTGCTATGCCATAGTGTTTCTATGCTAGTGATACTTAGAGATACTGGAGTTGGAAGAGAACAAGACTGGAACGTTGGCATGCCCATTTGAATGCTACAGTGAACTGTGGGTAACCACTGAAACCCCATTCTATTCACAAAGCACTTAAAACCCCTATATTCAAATCACAATGAAAGTCTTACACAAGATGTTAGCCTAGGAAGTTGGATCCATTCATCAGCCATAACTGTTCCCATTCCACCCAGTAGAGGGAAGCAGCACACAGAAATAGCATCTTCCATGAAGTGTGTTTTCTTAGAGGCAAGCAGAAATCAGCTGTTTTGTTTTCAAAGACACAAGTGAAGGAACACAACGTTTCAACACAATAAAGTTCTGTATTCAAAGTCTTGCTCTTAGCTACATACCCTATTTTTGTTAGGGTGTAATGTTAGAAAATCTAGATTACCATGGAAGAGCCAAAAATCCACTATACAATGGCAAACAAGGTTTCATAGTACAGTTTTTCCAACACCAGCTATTTGAAATCTACCTCAGAAAGGAGCAAGAGCAGAACAAAGATTGGACAAGTGTTTGATATGCCTGTCTTCTCACAGCTGTCATCCAGCCACTCCTGATTCCAGCTAACAGTTTGTGGTATGGTGCATAACATCCCCCTTTCCCTTCTCCCTCAAAAGGAAGGGGGAGAAGAGGACAGGTGATTCCCTCAAGACTGCCTGTGCTGCATAAAGTGACATTTTAAGCTCCTATGAGCTCAACAGCTGAAGTGGTATATGGATTAATTTCTCAAAGGGGTATGTGTGTGTTTGTGCACACATGTCAGATTTTACTAAAACCTTTTTTTTTTTTTAAGTGAAGTTTTGCTGTAGGGAAACTGGAACAGACTGTTACGTTTTGCTTCTGTTCAAATGCTAAACCCTCAAGCAGTGTCTCAGATCCTCTGTCTTTTGTAAGTAAAAAGCTGCCTTGGCTCTGAAATGCGTTATTCAAATGCATCATCTTCCTCAACTAGAGGGTTCCTTGTCTTTACACTATGGTTGTCTAAATCTGTATACAATGTTCACTTGCTCATGCAGTTCTGTAATTTTGCTGTTGAAATTACAGGGAATGTTTATTACATGTTGCTGAATGACTCCACTTAAACAACTGAGAAGTTGAGAGAGAATGAAAACCAAGACAGGGTATCAAGTTAAGCCATATGAATTCGATATACTTTAAAAACATACAGCAGGGATTTGGGGCCTCAATCAAGCAGAGCAGCTGAAAGGAAAATGGTGACCATATGAACAGACAGAAGTCCAGAAGTAAGTTAAATCTGTTATTAGTCCTCCAAAATAGTCAACACCAGAAGCAAAAGCTTGGTAAAACACCACAAGATCAGTCCTATCACCCAAGCACTCCTGCTGCAAGGTAACAGCATCCAGTGGTAAAGAGTCATCCAGCTGTTCAAACCAAAGAGAAACTAAATTTAAGCTGTTCAGTTGCCTCTTGCCACCCACCAAAACGTGGTGGAAAACATCACTCCAGAATTTAGAATGAAGAGAGACAAGAGCCATAATCTCATTTCAGAAATATGCAGATTATGTAGAACATGGCAGGGGAAAAGTCTTTTGGGTAAACACTACAAAGCCATTGATAAAACCTCACATTTGTTTCTTAGTAAACAAAATGGTGAAAACAACCTAGATTTAAAGTCTGAGAGCAAAAGAGTTAACAGGCTTGGGTGAAGAGAAGGGAGGTAGACAGTGATAGACTGATCTCCAACATTACACTGTTATTTAAAACAGCTACCTTAAATACGCACACGAGAAAACACAAGCCCATAATCCCTACTGCTCTCAGTGTGGAAGGGAGCTAGTCACCAGAAGGGAACTGGAAGAATCAGCCAGCTTCAAGATAAACTGGGAACCCCCCAGAAACTCCTTTCTGGACACAAAGCCTACAACAGAAACCCCAACTTGGCAGAGGTACCAGAAGGGCAATTCTCCTCCTGTGGAGAATCTCACGCACTCGCCGTCAGGAACACCCAACAGGCTGCACATCAGCTTTACCAAGCAGTAGGACTACACTCCCAGAGAGTTAAAATGGAAAGTACCCAGCTGTGCAGGGTGCGACAGCGAGGGGCATTTGTGCCAGCTTGGAGCATAGCATCCAGCTTGCCTGCGCTTGCAACCACAACCAGGCATTTATTGTTAAGCTCAAGGCTGCTCGCATCCCAGTCCCTACGTCACGGCCATAAAGGTCACGTATTGCTAGATGAAGTTTCTATGCCTGTTTCTACAAAGAAGGGGGAGAAAATAAGCCAAAAGACTCCACCAAAACAAGCAATCCCCTGCAAAAAAAACCTCATACCAACAATATAGCGTCCTATTGAAGTAAGACACACAAGAGTGTGTTCTCAATTCAGATTTGATGCACTTGTGTACCTAAAAGGCTGGCAGAGCCTCTCCTTCTTCCAATCTCAGCGATACGAAAAGGCCACCCCAAGTTTCAGTTGCACTGTTAATATAGCAACTTACTGCTCCTTCTGTGCTCATTATATGACAAATAAAATAATAAGACTGATCTTGAAATGTGGATGGGCAGGGGTAGTAGAAAGGAAGGGAAGAGTAATACTAAGTCTTCCATAACAAAGATCAGCTTATGATACTCAGCTTAAAAAACAACAAAAAACCACACACACTACTTAAAAGTCCTAAAACTTCCCCCCCTCTGCCTTATCTGAAGAGGCAGAGATGATACAGGTACTTAAGTCCTAAAACTTCCCCCCCTCCGCCTTATCTGAAGAGGCAGAGATGATACAGCTTGATGGATCTTTTGACTGTAAATTAATTGTCCTGTTATTTTCACTGTTTTCCCAAATGTATGAAAAAACTGTTTTATAAGCAAAAGCCTTCAAACATGCTGTTTTTTCCAAACCACACAAGCGTTCTGATATGCAGCAAGAGAAAAACGAGAAGAAAGCAGAGACAGATTTCTCCTTTCAAAGAAATTCAGAATTGTGTAAATTGCATTTAATGAATTGTTTGTTTCTGTAGTAATTAATAAGTAATTAAGAAAAAATACAATTGTTTCAAGATAAAAAACTGGTGCCTTTCCAACACCCATTTTGGTAACTATCTAGTAAGGAAAAAAAGGTTCATAACCAAGTTTAGTAGATTTTTTCTTTTTTCTTTTTTTTTTTAAAGAACTGCTTCACTACATTAATTAGTATTTTAGAATTTCCACCAAAATTAAATGAAGAGAGAAGTCAGAAGCAAGAAGGGAATAGTTTTAGAGATAGTTAAAAGTGATTTATTTTAAAATAAATCAGCTATGGGTTGATTATTTCCCAAACAGGAAATATTTCCTGAATTGGTGGCATACAATTTTAGACACAAAACAATAAAGGGAGCCTACTTCAATTTAAACAGAATCAGTGAACCATATTACAGGGCTATTCATCTTTTACAGCCACAGCAGCCCAAGAAATACAACAGCAAGGCCATAAATGTGATTGCTTCAGGAAAGGCTGTACAGTGCACCGTAATCATTTTACAACAGCAGGAATTCCTGGGTGTCGCTCTCCCCATTTTTTGGTCCATCTGCTTTCAAAGGGGGCAGGGGGATGGGCGGAGATGTTGTTAAACGTCCCCTGGGACTGCACAGCAATCAATCATCATCTGATGAATGGCCACTAAAGTTAAACCCTGACCCCACTCCACAATTCCCACACCAGCGCTCCTCTCCTTACTGCTGACCAGCTTCCAGCGTGCCGTGCCCCCCCCCCCCCCCTTCCAGCCCTCACCAAAATTTCCCAAATACCAAGCCCAGACAAAAGCAATGGAATGTGGTAGGCACCATGACAGAGGAAAATTCAGCAGAAACAGCAGTTGAGGCGGCTTATCCTTAACCTGTGTTTAAATAAGTGTTCCTTCAGCAATACTCACAGCGCCCTTCTCCTCCCAGCTTGCAAACACTTGATTTCTCTCATTTCGGAGCATGTTTAAGAGCATATATGCATGAAGTTATCAATAAAGCTTGTGAAATCTAACCATGTTTAAGCATTTGTTTTCCGTCATGACATTTTAGTGTCTTGTAATGATTTGATTTAAGCCTACAGTGTTAAGAATTTGTACAAGGCAGCAACACATAAGGTCATTATTTTAAAATATAAGTCTGACGCTCTAAAAACTACTCTGTAATCTTAACCAACAATAAAAAAAAATCTACAGACAAAACAGTAGCCTCTTGGTTTCTGCTTTTGGAAAAGTTTCAGTACAGCATTTGAGAGTTTATGACCAAAAAAAATCATACTTACCATAGTCAGTCTAAAGTTTTCCATTACTAAAGGTGTTTTATTATCTAGTTCCCTTGACAGTAACTCAAACACCAGTGGCTTTGTTAGGTAGTGTGTAAAGCTTAGATGACTATGAATTTAGTATAAACTC